CGGCGTGTTGGCATGCACCACCACGCACTTCACCGAATGTCTCGGGCTTCAGCTTCATCAAAGCCAAAATGAGTGGATAACTTGACATACCCTTTGATTTGGACACGCTCACCAGAGAATCCAACCAATGGTTCGTTGTAGGGGACCAACTCAGCTTCCGGTATGCCGAGTTGTTTAAAGGTATTCTAGTAAATGATATCGGCTGAACTTCCCTGATCGACCAGCGTTTTCCGAACGATGCAGTTGTGAATTTCAACGCTGATGACCATGGGGTCATCTTGGTCAGGATCAATGCCCTTGAAGTCGGCTTCGGTGAAGGTGATGGCCGACAATCTCTGTCGGGTGCGTTCAATTGCGTGGACAGTTCGGAAAGCTCGCAAATGTCTCTTCTGTGCTGAGGAGGTGGAGCCTCCGCCTGCGAACCTGCCGACAATAGTATTGATAACTCTTCGGGGTTGGGTTGTCGGCTCCTCTTCCCTTCGACCTCTTGATCGGCTTCGTTCCCTGTGGGGACGCCTGTCGGATCTATCTCGGCCACGCTGTTCCCCCTGATGACGACGATCATCGTGTCGGGGAGAGCGAGGCTGATCAACAAAATGTTAAAGCTGCCCTTGATTGATTAAGTCCTCGATTTTATCTTTCAGGGCGGCGCACTCCTCAGTTGAGTGACCTCGGTTTCGATGATACTTGCAGACCTTAGTTGTGTCGGCGCGTGGAGGATTTGAGGATCGTTTCGGGACCGCCAGGACCTCCGACGCGAGTGCCTGTTCCAAGACAGCTGATCGGCTGGCGTTCAGTGGAGTGTAATGAGAGTACCTTGGTCCCTGAGCGGGTTTCTCACGGTGGGCGAGCTCTTTCGGGCGGTTCCGATAGCTGTTTTCAGTTGGCTTCCCGGATTTGGCGGCTATCTCTGCCCTTGCTTGATTGCGGAACTCGGCTAGTTCTTCCATCTGCATGTATTTATTGGCGCGCCGACGCAAGTCATCCATATCGGTTGGTGGCTTCTTGCAAATACTGTTGGCAAATGGTCCAGGTTTTAAGGCGGTGGTAAGGTGATGAAAGGCGACACCCAGATTTAAGTCCCGGATCTCCAAGGCCGCTTTGTTGAATCGGCTCATGAAGGTCCAGAGGGATTCCTTCTTTTCTTGCCTTATGCTTATCAACGAGAGAGAGGTTAGCTGGTGAGGCCGACTGGTAGCAAACTGGATTGTGAACTGGGACGCCAAGGTATTGAAGGAGTCGACTGAGTTGGCTGGGAGCCGTGTGAACCAGCTCAATGCCCGACCCTTCAACGAAGTTAGGAAAATACGACATAGGGCGGCGTCATTAGTGGTGCCTCTCCATCTCGGATAATAGTATGGTGGTTGGAGAAGGAAGAAGATGAAAAAAGGTTGTTTAATGGTTAAAGGTAAAGGTGAGTGATTTATAATGGTGTAGTATTTAGAAGAAAGAAAAAAAAAACAGAAAGGGACGGATTGTGAGAGTCTTGGTAGAAGAAAGTGAGATGAGGAGAATGTGAGACTTTGATGGGTATTTATAAGTTAATACTCTTAATTTATTTTATATTTTTTAAACATTTTAAAAATATGATTCCATGTTTGTGCTTTAACTTTCATTCAATTTTCTTTATTGTTTTATTTATGAAAAATAACTTTCATTTGGTTTTGAATTAAACAATGACATTGAAAATATTAAAAAAATATTTTCAAATAAAAAATTTTGTTGAGATACAAAACATGTTACATATCATTAGAATAAGAGATTTGTGTGTGATATTTCTAGTAAAAATAACAAAGATATAACCCTTAACAATGGTATCAGAAACACTGATTGGATTCGGTGACAACCAATAATCCATAATCATAAACCTACATACAACAATAACAAAAATACAATGCAGAAACAGATTCTATTAAATAGAAGGTTAGGCTTTACTGAATGGGAGGTTGAGTCTTTTGTTTGATGGGATAATTATTAGAATACCAATCAATTCTCATATCGTTAAAACAGAAAGAGAAATGAAAGTTTATAAAGTACATACATATTTTATTGGTTAAGATATTTTTTGGGAGATATAACCAAAAACAAAATTGTGAAAAGTCCTCAAAGTGAACAATATCTTATTAATTTGAAATTGTGTATGAAATCTTTTAGTAAAAATAATAAAAAAATAATCATCTTCTTTATATAAATATATCCATCTCACACAAATTTAAAAAAAAAAACTAACAAAATCTAGACTAACTAACATTACATCCACTCTCTAGGTTTGATGTATTAAAAAAATGAAAATTGTATTTAATAGAATCTATACTTAATACTTGAATAAACTGTTTTAAAATTAAAAATTGTAATACATATTAATATTATATCCATCTTCTCTAAAATTATATTAAACTTAATATAATAAGATGTAGAAATTTTTAAGAAATTATGTGTCAATTTTTTAAAATATATTTTTATATTTTAATACTTATATTTAATAGGTCCTAATTATTGTTTAGTCTAGAACATATAAAATGTCATAAACAATATTTACCAATTTTAATTTATAAAAAAATTAATTTTATTTTTTTCTTATTATTTTATCTAAAAAAATGTGTTTTCGGATAAATTTATCAAAATTAGACACACAAAACCTCACATAAGAATGACCGGGACATTCAAAACTCCAAAACATCACAAAGCTTATATCTTATCTTTTTCGCACTTATCAAAGAGATGATTATAATTCCACAAATAATTCATTATTTTATTATAGGAACATAAAATAATCCTAATCTAGTAAAAAAATTCATAACATAGCTAATAACTAAGTTGACAACCTCAACGTTATTACACGTAATTTCAATCACAATCAATCATTAAAATTAATCATAAAAAGGAGCATTTGATTTCAACATTAGAAGATCATGAGAAAATATTGAGTCAAATTTATGTTAATTTTGATAAAGTTTTTTAGAAATGTTTTTAAAAGAGCAAAATAAAAAAAAATTCTATAAGTTAAAATTAACTTTCACATAAGTTATTTTATAAAAGTTTTCTTTTATTAACTTTTGTAAAATCTTATTTTAAATTTATGTATAAACTAATTTTGTTTATAAAAAAGTTATTTTTTATTTTTTTATTTTTTTCCTTAAAAATATTTTTTTAAAAATTTATCTAATCAGATATGACTTCAAAAGTACCGGCAAAAAGTAATAAGAGACCGTGTGTCAAAAAAGACATAAAGTCCTGTTCATTCATGGTTTACACTTTACATCATATTCCATTTTGCTGCTCCCAACTTCATCTTCCTAGCAATAACAACAAACAACCAATTCAAATTTCACTGCACAAATCCTCTCCGTGTCTTTTTCCACGAGTTTAAGGGATTGTGGATTAGAAAAGTTAAAACTTGCTTAATGATTTTAAATTTTAGTGAAAGATTTAATGTTGAATAGAAAAGTTAAACTTTAGGTATAATTATTAAATCTCCCAAGTGATTTTATAATTTCATTTACTCATATATGTTTATTTAAAATAATGCCTTAAAAGCGATTTTATTTAGTATCTTATATGTTTATTTAAAATAATACCTTAAAGCGGTTTTATTTAGTATTGTAATTTTTAGTTATAGAATTTCTCACTTAAGCATAAAATCTTTAAATAAATTTTTTTCTTTAGAAATTAGAACATTGACATATAATATCTTATAACATCACAAATATATGTTATTAGAAAATGTAGTCATTACTATCTTCAAACTCTTGAGTCTTGACGATGCTAATGATACTAGTGCAAAAAGGGTCTTTAATGTCAGACTACGTCGGAAAAGTTTTTGACCTTAATATGGGAGACGTAAATTTACGTCGGCTATCACAGACGACGTAAATTTACGTTGGATGTTTCCCCTGCCCGACGTAAAAAGGGGCTTTAAAAGGGGTAAAAACACGCAATAATTTAGGTCGGACTAGACCATGTCCGACGTAAATTATTGCGTTTTTTTTAAACGTTTGTTGTTTTTTGATATACCCAAAATTAACCTGCATATATATATAGTCCAAAATATAAAACCTAAAGCAGACAGTCCAGAATATAAAATCTAAACCAGGCAGTCCAGAATAGAAATTCAAATTATATTTCAAAATTGAATGACAAAGAAAATAATATATAAATGTTAAAAAGCATAAATTATGACAATGTAAATCCTATTATCCTAAAAAAGCTATAAACATATGTTTGTCAATGCTATCAAACTAGAAACATAATATCTAACTAACTAAACTTAGAAATTTAACTATTATATACTTTGAAGAAAAAAAGTTTCCCATTGTTCTCTTATCTTGATGATCTCATCTTCGGGCAATGGAGATGGATCTTGAAAGACCTGAAACATTAATTTAAGTGTCATTAATATGCAATGTTAATTATCGTAAAGGTAAATATACTTAAATAAATTTTGATATGAATTACCTGCGCCCAAGAATCAGTAATACCCGCAGAAACTATGTGTTGATACAAATGACAATGGTGATAAGGTTACCTTCACAGTTGACAATTATAAGCATCGTGAATTTTTAAGCAATGTTGTTTTTGACAAAGATGAGTGCAAATATGAATGTGATTGTATGATGTTTGAATCTTGTGCAATTCCTTGTAGTCATATTATGTGTTATGCGATATCAACATGTTCATGTGTTTCCTCCAAGTTTAATATGCAAGCGATGGTTGAAGGATGCAAAAAATTCAGTTTATATGTCTTATGAGACAGGAGATAATTCTAATGATATGATTATTACTGCACGCTTTGGGGTTTTAAGTGCATGTTTTAATAGACTTGGTCACCTTGCTTCAAAGAGTCGTGAAAGTTTTAATTTCATAAGGAATGAAATTTTGAAGCTTACTGATAAGTTACAAAAAGAAGTTGGTTTGCAGCACAATGGATATGATGCTAGTAATGATTATTGTGACCCCCTTGTTGTTAAGACAAAAGGTGCCCCATCAAAGAAAAATGTGAAGAAAAAAAGTAGGAAATGTTCTAATTGTAATTTAACTGGTCATGTAGCTACAACATGTCCTGTCCTCCTTTTCATGGATTATGACTTTAGTTCCAGTGAGGATTCTACAGAATTGGATGATGCTGTTGATGAAAGTGTAAGTTATTTATTTTGAAATATCATTTTAGGTAAATAATTTATGTATTTGACACATCAGTTTATATAAGTAATTTTTTTTGTTAATTGCAGGAAAATTGTACACCCTCGATGATGATACTAACAAAGAAGATGGCAGTAGTGCTCCAGTGAAGGTATTTATTTTGATTAATGTATATCTGAAAAGAAGTTTTAATAGTCTCATTATTTGTATTTTGTGATTAATTTATGAATTTTGTGCTTTTAATCGAATGTACAGAATAAACGAATGGATGATGATTTAAGTATATCAAAATTAAAATATAAGAAACAAAGGGTTTCAAAACCGAATTTGAAGGAGGAGAACATTGTAAGTGAATTTTATTTTGATATATTTATGTCTTAAAATATTAATCTTTGCATTTGATTATAATCATTGATTTGTATTATCATATTTAATTTCAGAAATTGAAAGCAACAAATTTAAAAGTACATACAGTTGGTAGGAAGATTTGTGATAAAATGTATAAAAAGAATTGAAATCAGACAACAACTCATTATACCTATAATCTCTTAAAGAATGCTCAAAATTGTACAACAATTCAACTATAGTATTTTTTCTCTTCAAATAAGTCTTTATGCATGAATTTATTCCTTCACATAAAGAAGTAGTCCTTATACCCGCAAAAAATTTGTCACGTAAATAAGCAGTAGCCCACATAAACCGTTTTTGGTAAGTTTGCTGAACCCAATTATTGTCTTGTAGTTCATGTCTTTCTACTAACTCATTCCATAATCTTTCAAACTTTTCTGGGGTATAATTACCGTACATTACCCTTTTGAAATCCTTCCAAAAATTATTATTCTTTTCGTGTACCAAAGAAATCTCGATGGCTCCAAGAACCACCAACACCACGCACACGGCCTGCGTGCTCTGGCCTTCCTATGGCCGTTGTGAGGATATCATCCCGACCATAGGAAACAAATGAGCCCTGGGTGGTTTGCTAAACTAAACCCTCCTGCAACATATTAACAATAAGTATACCCTAAACTACACTTATGAATTAAATGAGTTGAAATAAAGAGTCTTAGTTTGTATATTTTTACTTACTATTTTATCAGCAACGACCCTTGCAGACTCAGAAGTCATTTGCCCATCTAATTTTGTCCAGGATGGTATTCACATCTCATGGCGGGGAGGTGACTCCACACGGTCAGCAGACTCAACCCCTGCTGCCTCTGCCCTAGCCTTCATCATTTTCTTTTTTTTAGATTCATATCCCCCTCTTGATAATAGATGGGGTGCATCATTCGGTTTATGTCTGGACAGTTTTGAAAGTATGCAGCACTAAGCAAAATCCGAGAGCAACTTATAGCAAAAATTTTCTACTCCTTTGCCTTTTACTCATGTTCTTTCTTGTTTTCTTTTGTAATTATTTTGGAAACTTCTTTTAACTTTCTTTTCTTTTGTCACTGGAGTTTAATGCCTTTTTTTTATCACTTATAAGTCTCAGATTTGGTAATGAAAAAGGTTGCTAAACAATTTTCACAAACAAGAGGTATATAGATGTGTGTGTTACAAGTGCTCTTACTTAATCACCAATTTGTTAAACAATTTTAGGTAAACTTTTTCTTTGATTTTCTTGCACTTTAAAAAACCTAATACCTATGTTTTTCCTCTATTTTAGATGCACAAAAATAGGAACAAGTTTCAGCCACACAAGAGATTCAAAGAAATCCTAATAGGAAAAAATGTTTAGTAATTTTCCTGACAAACCTTTTATGAGACATCAAAGAAACCTAACTTTAAGAAAATTGCTAGAACTAATAGCAAATTAAGAACTCAAATATGTAAAATAAAAGCACATATAGGTCAGCACAAGATTAACAAATCAAAACTGCACCAAATAATGTCACAAAACAAAACAAAAACCAAAGGTTCAACAAGCTAGTCTAGGATTCAATGACATGTAAAAGGACTACACATGGCTCTAGATAAAACATATGATTCAAAAACAAAAACACATGCTATTCATTGTAATAATCCAATCACGGATTCATGTAATGGGATAGGCAAGACTCAAGAAAAATTAAAAGCAGAAGCACAAGAATACCTAAAGCACAAAACCGAATTGATTCAAGAGTAAAGGAACAAGCAACAAAATGAATCAATCAATTTTCATGTGACATGTGAATCCATAAAAATGTGAACAAGAACTAGATCCATTCAGAAAAACAAGCGAGACATGTAAAGGAAGATTGAGACATGACCAAATCAATTTAAAGGAAAAAAGAACATAACCTCAAGAGCACCAAGGCTCTAGATACCAAAAATGATGGAATGCAATAGAAGAAGTGATTGATGGCTTCCTCTAGACTCCATCTTCAATTCCTTATTATCTTGAGGTTGATTTCTTCGATGGAAGAAGCTAAGAGAAACAAATCCGAGCAAGTAGAAGCAACTTGAATGTGTTCGGTAACTTCCTCAAGAAGTTAGAAGAGTGATCGGTGTCGTACCCGATCAAATAAAATATGAAATTTATAGTACTAGAAAGTGACTCCTAGGTCATCTCTCAAGGAGCAACAATGCCAATCCGAGGTTCGTGTAATACAACCAAACACACACAAAAAGGGGTGGTTCAGATTCAATCAATGAAACAAGAAAGCAATGAAACAGTAAGTGATGAAACAGTGACTCTCCAACTTAGTTGTAGCATCATATCCTTGGTTAGAAATATTTTCTCACTGATTTAACCCTCTGTTTAACTCCAAGTAACGACTAAACGTCATTACCATCATTGAAGCCATACATACGAACAAAGCATTAGCACGCATCTCTACCCATAAGATTAAGCAAACCATGAGTAAAGTAAGGTGAACCAGTTAAGTTGAAAACGAAACCATCAAGCATGGAAACAAGACCAACACAACAGATTCATAAGGATTAAAATGTAAGAACACCAGGAATGAATAAACCTCAATGAATACATTTGTGTGTTGCTTCTAGAAATACCTGCTTAATTGCCTCTCTCATTGCACCATCTCCATCAGTCACTACAGCTTTTGGTTGTTTATTTGACATTGCATTCAAAAAGGATTCCAATACCCACTTATATGCCTCAATACTTAAAACAAATTAACTTCAAATCTTGCATAGACAGAGACTCTTAACATTTGAGGAGTACCCTTGTGGAACTTTCATACTGTGTAAGCACTCACAAAAGCTTTTTTTTTTCTTTTTTTATAGAGTATGACAAGTTGGAGGCAAGTAAGTGCATCTTCCAATAGACTGAGGATGTACCTCAGAACGTATACCCATGTCCACCAAATCTTGTCGTGCTTTCAGCCCATCTTCAGTCTTTCCTTTGATGTTTAGCAATGTCCTAATTAAACTTTCACAAAACATTTTCTCCACCTGCATCACATCTATGTAGTGTCTAACATCTAGCTTGCACCAATAAGGAAGATTAAAGAATATTGATCGTTTCATCCAAATATTTCTCTCAGTTGACTTCTTTTGCGTTTTTCAGAACACAATGTTAATTTTCTTCACCCGCTGATATACTTCTTTATCTAGGCCAGAAAATTGGTGAGAGCTAATGAGCTGTAGGAGTGCGGGCTTCATTTCTGCTAGTCTCTCATTCATTGTGGGCCTCACGATGCTAGAGAATTCCCTCGGGCTAGTGTAGGTGAAAGCATCACCTATAGTGTGCCTCCGGTTTGGATTGTCATTGTGAGCACCACCTTCACCTCCACCTTCCATAGTGAACTCAGGAATAGCAGAGACAAAAACTTCAGGAATATGAGTGGTTGGTTGGCCAACTGGATTTGCTCTATTCCTCCTTCTCCTCCTGTTGCTATTATTCCTCCGTGTCATGCGTTCAATCTTAGGATCGTTCAACAGCGGCTCAGAAGAAGTAGTGCCTCTGGTTCGAATAGTACCTTGCATACAAGAGAAAACAGAAGACTAGAGTGCACAAGTCAGCTCAAAGAATTCATTGCTGAAATAAAAATAACAATAATAATAAAGGAACAAGTCACAAATAGCTATAATTACTAAATTTCCTTACTAATCCCTGGCAACGATGCCAAAAACTTGTTGAGATTTCTGTTGAAACTACTTTTGTTATCATTGTAAATCATTTTAATTCTATCAACGGACTCAAACACGACAAGTATATCAGCCGTTCAAGTAGTAAATTATATCGTATCCACAGGGACTAGTAGGTAAAATAAGCATTTATTGACTATTCGTGACTAAAGAATGACTCTATTTTCATAGATTGTCATGCAATTCAAATAAAGGTTATGACTATTAGAATGTTAAACTATAAAACTATTTATTTTGTGTGTGGAAATGGTAGAAATGGTATTATGGTTTTTGTAAGATTGTTGGGTCAGATATCACCGAACTACACACTGATGAATCTTTAATCTCTTGTTACATTCATTGCTTAGTTAACCCATAAGTTTACTCAAACCTAATCCCTTAGAGCAAGAGCCTAGGTGCGGATATTGAATATCAATTCCTTGAGTATCCAATACTTACACCCGCATTACGGGTTAGGGTTTAAGACTACTAATGGGCCAAGCTCCATTCCTAGATACATTTCCCACTAGGCATTTGTTTCAGAGCTAGTTCAACGTAAATAAGCAGTAGCCCACATAAACCGTTTTTGGTAAGTTTGCTGAACCCAATTATTGTCTTGTAGTTCATGTCTTTCTACTAACTCATTCCATAATCTTTCAAACTTTTCTGGGGTATAATTACCGTACATTACCCTTTTGAAATCCTTCCAAAAATTATTATTCTTAACATTCTGACAGGCATTTTTTTGCAAATGCCATGAACAAAGCCTGTGTGTTGCTTCTAGAAATACCTGCTTAATTGCCTCTCTCATTGCACCATCTCCATCAGTCACTACAGCTTTTGGTTGTTTATTTGACATTGCATTCAAAAAGGATTCCAATACCCACTTATATGCCTCAATACTTTCATCGGAAACAATAGCACAACCAAATATAACAGTTTGAGCATGGTGGTTTTTACCAGAAAAAATCACCAATGGCTTATTATACTTATTCTTCTTATATGTACTATCAAAAGCAAGTACATCACCAAAACATTGAAAATCACTTCTGCTAGTACCATCAGCCCAAAATAGGTGTTTCAACTGACCCTCAGATGATATCATGTACCTTGAAAAAAATAATGGATCATTATCTGCCTTGCCTTGAAGATAACTTAAAGCAGCAACTACGTATCCATCATTGATCTTAAAACGCTTATTACGCTCAATATGATTGAACAAATGTTATTTATGCGTCTGGAACGACCCGTTCTAAAATCAGAACGGCCCGTTTCAGC